AAATGACCCAAATGTTTTCGCCATTATGTTTGACGCTCTTTCGATTAGCGCTTATCGCGTGTCGCTACGTGGCCCAGGAGTCGAGTTAGACGGGGGCTGAAACGCCCCCCCCCCCCCCCAGCACAACACGGAAAACACAGGCCACTAGCACGGCGCAGGTTCAGTCAAAGTTATTACATGAAATCAAATCATAAAGCGGCTATTTTTCGAGGATTTGCCCTCTGGGGCTAGAAAGTTGGTGGTGGAACGATTCTGAGGCTTTATTCTAGAAAGAGCGTTTAAAAGGGCTATCGAATGCGCTTTTCCGTAGCTCTGTAGCTCTATTGGTATACCTAACTCGAGGTGCGCGCCAGTGTTCCGAAAAATGTTCAAATGTTGAAAATGAAATGAAATATCTTTGATGACGTCTGGTGACCTGACCTTTGATCTGACCTAAAATATGCCGACAATATTTTCACCCTGGATTTAAACGATCTTTTGAATGCTTCTTCTTACCGCATGTCGCTGCGTGGCCCAGGAGCCGAGTCAGAAGGAGAGTGGGAGGGGGTGTTCAAACATCCCCCGCTCTCCGCGGTTTGCGCCGAGCACTGGCGCGGTGCGGGTTAATACTACATATTCCCTGCGTTATTCTAGCTACCATAGTTCCTGAGATAGCGGCATGTTTTCTGAAAAATATAATGACAATTGGCAAATTTTGACCTTTGATGACCTCTGGTGACCCTAATATTGCTCTAAGGTGAAAAATGACTGAAATACTTTCAAACGTACGCATTGAGAGCTATCGACTGCTTTTTACCCCGTCTTTCTAGCCCTCTTAGTTTTTGAGTTAGAGGTGGGTGGTAACATATGCCCCCCCTCACTAGGGCGAAGTTGGCTGAGACCGCCACTGGGGCGCGGGTTAAGAAGCGTTGTTTCTTTTTTAAGCGTTTTTGGTATACCTTTTCATGCATCTTTTCCACACACATGTTGTAAAAATTTCAGACCCGGGTCGCTCAAGGTCAGGTCACCAGGTCACGTCAAGTGACCTTACCTCAGAAAACGTTCAAAGGCTTGCTATAGGTACGCACCGACCAAACGATCACTTTGAAACTTTCAGCGATTGATAAGAATATCAATATGTATGTATATAATTTTTATCACGGATTTGTAATATCTGTAACCTAAGGTCAGGTCAATTTTTCGACCTCTCCATTACAAGTCAATAGGAGAAAATTGAAATGCGCCTCTTTTGGATCAATGTCTTTCAAAGCCCTCTCAAACATCAGTTCATAGGAGAACGTGACACACTGAATCGGAAAAGTGCACCTGTTGTGACCCCTCTGTGTGCCCCTGAGGTCATCTCAGGCCATGAACGGCCACCAGCAGTTTTGTTTTGCAATAACTTTTGATAGAGACGTGCTAGAGTGGTGAAAACACGTCATGCGTTCACCTCGACGATACTGATCGACTGACATGCACCATGACCTTTTCCGGTTGGGTCATGACCTTGACCTGAGGTCATATTTTCAAGATGACCTTTCAAGGTCAACAAATAGTCCATTCGACGCGTCTCGACGAAAGGAATACGATGCTGCCAAAAGTATTGTCGTGTGTCCCTTGAGTCAAAAGTTATTGCCGAAAATTATATTCGTGAAAACGGCTACCTATTTCTAGAGTTCTTGCCCTCTGGAGGCTAAACCGTTAGCCTGAGGTCAAATTTGATAACATACTCAGAAAGGGTTGTAAAAAGGCTATCGAATGCGCTTTCCGTGGCGCTGTAGTTCTATTGGTTCCCGAGTTAGCCGTTGGCAGTTTCCAAAATTGTTGAAATGGGCTAAATTTGACCTTTGATGACCTCTGGTGACCTGACCTTTGACCTGACATAAAAATGACCCAAATGTTTTCGCCATTATGTTTGACGCTCTTTCGATTAGCGCTTATCGCGTGTCGCTACGTGGCCCAGGAGTCGAGTTAGACGGGGGCTGAAACGCCCCCCCCCCCCCCCAGCACAACACGGAAAACACAGGCCACTAGCACGGCGCAGGTTCAGTCAAAGTTATTACATGAAATCAAATCATAAAGCGGCTATTTTTCGAGGATTTGCCCTCTGGGGCTAGAAAGTTGGTGGTGGAACGATTCTGAGGCTTTATTCTAGAAAGAGCGTTAAAAGGGCTATCGAATGCGCTTTTCCGTAGCTCTGTAGCTCTATTGGTATACCTAACTCGAGGTGCGCGCCAGTGTTCCGAAAAATGTTCAAATGTTGAAAATGAAATGAAATATCTTTGATGACGTCTGGTGACCTGACCTTTGATCTGACCTAAAATATGCCGACAATATTTTCACCCTGGATTTAAACGATCTTTTGAATGCTTCTTCTTACCGCATGTCGCTGCGTGGCCCAGGAGCCGAGTCAGAAGGAGAGTGGGAGGGGGTGTTCAAACATCCCCCGCTCTCCGCGGTTTGCGCCGAGCACTGGCGCGGTGCGGGTTAATACTACATATTCCCTGCGTTATTCTAGCTACCATAGTTCCTGAGATAGCGGCATGTTTTCTGAAAAATATAATGACAATTGGCAAATTTTGACCTTTGATGACCTCTGGTGACCCTAATATTGCTCTAAGGTGAAAAATGACTGAAATACTTTCAAACGTACGCATTGAGAGCTATCGACTGCTTTTTACCCCGTCTTTCTAGCCCTCTTAGTTTTTGAGTTAGAGGTGGGTGGTAACATATGCCCCCCCTCACTAGGGCGAAGTTGGCTGAGACCGCCACTGGGGCGCGGGTTAAGAAGCGTTGTTTCTTTTTTAAGCGTTTTTGGTATACCTTTTCATGCATCTTTTCCACACACATGTTGTAAAAATTTCAGACCCGGGTCGCTCAAGGTCAGGTCACCAGGTCACGTCAAGTGACCTTACCTCAGAAAACGTTCAAAGGCTTGCTATAGGTACGCACCGACCAAACGATCACTTTGAAACTTTCAGCGATTGATAAGAATATCAATATGTATGTATAGAATTTTTATCACGGATTTGTAATATCTGTAACCTAAGGTCAGGTCAATTTTTCGACCTCTCCATTACAAGTCAATAGGAGAAAATTGAAATGCGCCTCTTTTGGATCAATGTCTTTCAAAGCCCTCTCAAACATCAGTTCATAGGAGAACGTGACACACTGAATCGGAAAAGTGCACCTGTTGTGACCCCTCTGTGTGCCCCTGAGGTCATCTCAGGCCATGAACGGCCACCAGCAGTTTTGTTTTGCAATAACTTGATAGAGACGTGCTAGAGTGGTGAAAACACGTCATGCGTTCACCTCGACGATACTGATCGACTGACATGCACCATGACCTTTTCCGGTTGGGTCATGACCTTGACCTGAGGTCATATTTTCAAGATGACCTTTCAAGGTCAACAAATAGTCCATTCGACGCGTCTCGACGAAAGGAATACGATGCTGCCAAAAGTATTGTCGTGTGTCCCTTGAGTCAAAAGTTATTGCCGAAAATTATATTCGTGAAAACGGCTACCTATTTCTAGAGTTCTTGCCCTCTGGAGGCTAAACCGTTAGCCTGAGGTCAAATTTGATAACATACTCAGAAAGGGTTGTAAAAAGGCTATCGAATGCGCTTTCCGTGGCGCTGTAGTTCTATTGGTTCCCGAGTTAGCCGTTGGCAGTTTCCAAAATTGTTGAAATGGGCTAAATTTGACCTTTGATGACCTCTGGTGACCTGACCTTTGACCTGACATAAAAATGACCCAAATGTTTTCGCCATTATGTTTGACGCTCTTTCGATTAGCGCTTATCGCGTGTCGCTACGTGGCCCAGGAGTCGAGTTAGACGGGGGCTGAAACGCCCCCCCCCCAGCACAACACGGAAAACACAGGCCACTAGCACGGCGCAGGTTCAGTCAAAGTTATTACATGAAATCAAATCATAAAGCGGCTATTTTTCGAGGATTTGCCCTCTGGGGCTAGAAAGTTGGTGGTGGAACGATTCTGAGGCTTTATTCTAGAAAGAGCGTTAAAAGGGCTATCGAATGCGCTTTTCCGTAGCTCTGTAGCTCTATTGGTATACCTAACTCGAGGTGCGCGCCAGTGTTCCGAAAAATGTTCAAATGTTGAAAATGAAATGAAATATCTTTGATGACGTCTGGTGACCTGACCTTTGATCTGACCTAAAATATGCCGACAATATTTTCACCCTGGATTTAAACGATCTTTTGAATGCTTCTTCTTACCGCATGTCGCTGCGTGGCCCAGGAGCCGAGTCAGAAGGAGAGTGGGAGGGGGTGTTCAAACATCCCCCGCTCTCCGCGGTTTGCGCCGAGCACTGGCGCGGTGCGGGTTAATACTACATATTTTGTTTAGTTGTGCCCTGAGCCATGTTATAATCCAGAATAACTTATCAATTAGAGTTGCAAAGTTTTCCCAATGGGCTGCTACCGGCACCGCCCCGCCCCACAAACATTTTCTGAGATACCGGCATGCTACCACGCCCCAAGCAAAAAAAAAAAAAAACCGCCAAATTACCGGCATACTAAAAAACCTGCATTCTTGATTTTGGCTTACCCCTACATGAGATACCACATTTTGGCAATTTCAGTAACCGCCCCACCCAACAGCCACCCATTGTCCAACTTATTAATATCAATACCAAAGCAATAGTCGTTTTCACGACGGAACCACCTGGCAAATGCACCTAATTTGACCAAATCTGCACCAAATCACTTTTACAAAAAAAAAATATCGTATCATGAACTTCTTTCAGTGTTTTTATCGAAAATGTCTGATAATTTGAAAGATCAGGTGTATAACTGTGCATCCCAAACTGATAACTTCTAAAGAAACTGAAACACGATGAACCTAATTTGACCAAATCTGCACCAAATCTGCACCTGAGGCTCACCAAATGTGTACCCGATTGCCGTCGTGAAAACGGCTAATAACTACCTACTTAACTATTGATTTTAACGTTTCTCAGCTACAGCCTGGAGTCTTTCTGAAAGAAAACAAAAGGCATTTTAGCAGTGACATATATTTGATGACAGGTTTTGGGCCATGAGCATGCAGGGAGAATTTTCTCTCCCGAGACAATCTCCCCGCCACATGGCCGTGTTGTTCCGAGACAAAGCAGCACTGTTCAGCAGCCGTCACTCCGGAGAGGTCCCACTAATGGTGCGGGTCGCGGCTCGGGTGCGGGCCGTACACAGGCCTCCTCACAGCGACGTAGCCGTGGCCGTAGCCGTGGTGGCTCAGTAGCCGTAGGAAGCCGAGCGGGCGTAGGGGTGGTGAAGGTAGCCGTAGCCATGGCTGTAGCCGTAGCCGTAGCCAGGGTGGCTGTAGGGAGCCGAGCGGCCGTAGCGGTGGTGACCGTAGCCGTAGTGGTTACCATGACCGTAGCCGTGGCTGGCGTAGCCGTAGTTCACGGACCGTCCGTGTCGGTGTCCGTAACGGTAACCGTGCCCCAGAGAACGTCCGTACCGGTGGCCGTAGCCGTGGCCGTAGCCGTGGCCGTAGCCGTGGCCGTGGCCGTGGCCGGAGGCGGAAACTGCGGCCACCAGGGCGCACAGCACGAGCTGAAAAGGGAGATTTTTGGGTTCAAACAAGCACATTTTATCCTTCATCGCGGTCTTTCACAGCTCACAAGATCGTACGATTTTGCAGAAATAATTGGGCACCAATAAGTGTAAAAGTGGCATTTTTCCGTTCTGAATATTTTTTACTAAAGGCTGTAAGGCAACATATTAAAATTAAATATCAGTGACAAGCATTCATAGAATGTTTGACTGGGATGAATAATACTTATTGGTTAAATGAATGTATTGAGACCAAGAGAGTTTCCTCCGAACGTCTTACCAGAATCCTGGCGTTCATCTCGACTGAGCCGTGTGGGAGGGAGTCTCCGGCGGTGCTGCCGAACAGTGGTGCCTCCAGACGGCCGACCCCCGCTTATATGGCTCTCGAGGTGTCACGGTGGTGGCCGCGGTGTGTCGCCCCCCCCCTCCCCCTATAGCCGACCCTGTAGGCGAGTGGGTCGGAGCTGGTCATCGGGAGCGGTGGCTGTGGGTTTAGGTGGCCTTGGAAATACTTTTCTGAATCCATGGCCTTCCGAAGAGACTTGTGCGCCATGTCTATTGTGTATTGCAGGATGACAAGATGACAATCCATCTTATCTCGATGTCAATGGGTCCATCGGAATCGTCGTGGTTAACTGTGCAGTCGTCCGTTTCCCAATGAGATCAGCCGACCGTCTAACTCGCGGCGGCACGGCGATTAGGTCCCTAACAGGGCGTATCCGGGAAATAGTCTGTTGGTTTTCCAAATGATTGTCAGACATTTGTCAACTTCTAGTTAGTGTCATTCACTGCTTACGCTCCATAACCGAATCTGAGTGATATTTTTGAAAAATTGCCAACTTGACCTTTCCCGGACCTATCTGTGTTTCTCACACAACTCGGCCGAGGGTGGTAGAGGCCGGTGTGTTCCATCACGTTTTCGCCTCCAGATGAGCTAGAACCTCGTGGGAAAGACGAGATGCGGTGACGCGACGCAGCAATCAGGCTCTAATTTCAAGGTATCAGGTCAACATATGACCTCTGAGGTCAGATACAATACGAGATACAGAAGTTGTAGCTCATCGGGAGCTTACCAAAATCCTTTTCCTGTGAAAAAAATCCCCTGGCATTGAGGGTTCCTCGAATTTGCGACATTTTAGAATCGCGCAGAAGCTCACTTACCGATGCAGTCATGGGTCAGTTATGCGATCTATTCATCTTTTGCACACATGTTCTACAAATTTCAGACCCGGGTCGTTCAAGGTCAGGTCACCAGTTCATATCAAGTGACCTTACCTTAGAAAAAGTTCAAAGGCTTGCTCTAGCTACACCGACTCAACGATCGCTTTGAATTTCAGCGATTGATAATAACAATACCTATGTATCAAATGTAGGTATACAGGGTGTCCGGGAATTATTTGCCCCTTGTTCATTCAGCTATAATCCCACTGTGCGCTTTAAGAACTGTTGAAAAATTGTTAACCCGCGCCCGGCTGGGGGTCCTGGATTTCCACGCCCTGCTGGGGGGGGGGGGTGTTTGAACACCCCCCCTTGTAACTCGGCTCCTGGGCCACGTAGCGATACGCGGAAGGCGGCGTTCGAAAGAGCGTCAAAAATATTGACGAAATCACTTCGGTCAATTTTTTGGTCAGGTCAAAGGTCAGGTCACCACAGGTCATTGAAGGCAAAATTTCGCCGATTTCCAGGTCGAATATCGAAAATTTCCAAGAAGCCAACGCATAACTCGGGAACCAATAGAGCTACAGCGCCGCGAAAAAGCGCATTCGATAGCCCTATTAACGCCCTTTCTGAGTAATTCTCTCAGATTTGACCTAACGTCAACGGTTTTGCCTGCAGGGGGCAAAAACTGCAAAAATAGCCGATTTTTTCGGAAACAGTTTTTCGGCAATAACTTTTGACTCAAGCCTTGTACGAGCTTACTTTTACCGGCATCGTGTTCCTCTCGTCAAGACGCATCGAATGAACTATAACTTGACCTTGAAAGGTCAACTTGAAAATTTGACCTCAGGTCAAGGTCATGACCTGACCGGAAAGGGTCATGTTGCATATCAGTCGATCCGTATCGTCGAGCTGAACACATCTAAGGCGTTTTCATCGCTCTAGCATGCCTCTATCAAAAGTTATTTGCGAAAAACTGTTAGATACAATTCGTGACCTAAGATGACCTCAGGGCATAAACAAGGGTCACGGACACCATTTTCATGTTCAGTGTGTCTAAACCACTTGTAATTCAGTGTTTGGGAGTGTTTATAATGTCTTTCGTCCAAAAGAGGCGCATTTCAATTTTCTCCCATTGACTTATAATGGGGAGGTCGCAAAATTGACCTGACCTTAGGTCACCGATATCCAAATTCCGAGATATACATTTTATAGATACTGTTACTCTTATCAATCGCTGAAAGTTTCAAAGCGATCGGTCACTCGGTGTAGCTATGACAGACATTGAAACTTTTTATGAGGTGAGGTAACTTCAAGTGACCTGGTGACCTGACCTTGAATGACCTTGGTCTGAAATTTTTACAACATGTGTAGAATTGATGTATGATAAGGTATACCAAAAACGGCGGCGCTCCGCGCCGCCGTTTTTGAGATATTCGCGAAAAACCACAAGGGGGGTGTTCAAACACCCCCCCCCCAGCAGGGCGCGGGTTAAAACCGTGCCTAAGGCTATCCACAGCTGTCTGTTAGTCACATGACCTAACCCGGTCACCTAACCTTGACACGTGAGAGGCGCCAGGGGCCAACGTTTGGCAGGCGTAACTCGCACCTGAACGTGGTGTCTACTGTGACGAAAGAAATTCCTTGACAAAGCGTCATCGCGCTGAAGCTATGGTGAAGACTGGAATGAATGGTGAAGACTGGAATGACCTCTCCATTGTAAGTCAATGGGAGAAAATTGAAATGCATCTCTTTTGGACGAATGTCGTCCAAAACACTCTCAAGCATCGGTTCATAGGTAAACATGACACACTGATAATAAAGCGTACGAAAGGCCATATTTACTTTAATGCGAAATATTACATTAAACTAAATGAAATTAAAGATAAGCTACCCGACGTTTCGCTTATATTTGCTTAGTCATGGGCGATCTGATCGCCCATGATCGCCCATGACTAAGCAAATATAAGCGAAACGTCGGGTAGCTTATCTTTAATTTCATTTAGTTTAATGTAATATTTCGCATTAAAGTAAATATGGCCTTTCGTACGCTTTATTAACAATTGTCTCAAATAAAACTTCAACATGACACAATGAATCGGAAAAATGCGCTGTGACCCCTTGGTGTGCCCCTGAGGTCATCTCAGGTCATGAACGGTCACCAGCAGTTTTTTTTTGCTATAACTGTTGATAAAGACGCGATAGAGCGGTGATCACACGCCAGGTGCGTTCAGCTCGACGATACGGTTCGACTGATATGCAGCATGATCCTTTTCGGTCAGGTCATGAACCTTGACCTTAGGTCACATTTTCAAAATGAGCTTTGAATGTTAACGTATCGTTCATTCGACGTGTCTCGACGAGAGAAACACGATGCTGGCAAAAGTAATGTCGTGGCTCTCTTGAGTCAAAAATTATTTAAAAAAAAAAACATTTTTCGTGGAAACGGCTATTTTTAGAGTTTTTGCCCTCTGGAGGCTAAACCGTTAACCCGCACCCCACGGGGAGGAGGGCTATTCATAGCCCCTTCCCGTTTTCCTGCAATAACTTCTAAACCGCTTGAGGTATCGCCGCCAAACTTTCAGTACCTTCGGCTGACAGCTCTGACGGCCTTGACAGCTAAATAAGGCTTCTCTCGGTTCGGGAAAATTGAGTTATCCCGAGTCCGGGTCCGACAGCAGGCTACATCCGACATTATTTTAATGTCTGACTTCTTCATTAATTGGAGCTACGGTGTAGACTGTAGGCGTGTTATATTTAACTAGCGCCCCACTGCACTGGGGGGGGGGGGGCTATTTATAGCCCCCCTCCCGTTTTTCTGCAATAACTTCCAAACCGCTTGACGTATCGACGCCAAACTTTCAGTACCTTCGGCTGCATCAATTTGACACCTTGTGTCAAAATATGAACTTCGTATCTATCATAGGTCGGCCGGAAATAACGTCAGAGTGACGTCATGTTCGGCCGATTTCGAAGCAAAACATTGAACCACGGGAATCGCTCCCAAGAGCTCAGTTTTTTAGGTAGATCCAATTCCTTTGCATGAGAGGACACAGAATGGACTGCGCTATTAAACTGTCATCTCAAATTTTCAAAATTTTAAAATATTTGAAAATAATAGATATTAAAATTCAAAATTTGTATTTTAATCTTTTTTTTAAACTTTTTGACTTTTTGAAAAAACGGAATATATATGATAGAACACATGCTCATGATTTACTGTATCAATTTTTAGCCAGATATCTTTAAAAAAGCCAAGTTATACGCATTATAGCAAAAAATTCACAATTTTAAATTTTTCAGATCAATTTTTTTGTACAAATTTAACATCGTACACCAATATTAATAGCACCATCGTGTTCCTGAGCTCACATTGCATCCGATAGACATGTATTTTGTTGAAAAATTTCAACTTCGAAATTTGACATTTTTTGACCTGAAAGTGACCTAACCTCAGCTATATTCAGATGAAAATGGCCTCAAATAACACAAGCGACACTGAATTCGAAATCTACGGCGTAAATGGACCATAAAACATGTGTCACGTGACCGACTTATGACATAAGATTTCCGTGACCTATGATGACCTGACCCTGACCTGAAAATCAAAGTACATGTTTGGTACCCTCAGAGTATCTAAAACATCTGTTCACGAGTGTGTAAACCAAAAATCAGCCTGATCTGACTTGTAAGACGGCAGCCAGAGCCCAAAATGTGAACAGGCCAAATATATTGAGTATGTTTCAACGCTAACTTGAGAGACATTGTAACAAATAGTAATAAAATTAACCTCACTCTCATTCTATCTAAAAGTAAATTCCGGATTCGAAATAAAAAAAAACTTTTTGAGAAGCTTTCGGCATTGCGCCATCATCAGCTCTCTGTGGCGCAATGCCGAAAGCTTCTCAAAAAGTTTGTTTTATTTCGAATCCGGAATTTACTTTTAGATAGAATGAGAGTGAGGTTAATTTTATTACTACAGGCTAAATATCGATAAATTTTACTTTGACTTGACCTGTGACGTCATCGGTGACCTCAAGGTCAATGAAATTAGGTTTCGCTCTACAGTTTTTCCGGGGCTATCAGATGTTGTTTGAATTTTGACGAACGGCCCAGTAGTTTCGGAGTTAGGAGGGAAGCTATGAATAGCCCCCCCCCCCCCAATAGGGCGTGTTATACACAGACCCCAGTGGGGCGCGGGTTAACCTGAGGTCAAATCTGAAAACATTCCTACCAGAAAGGTCTGTAAAAGGGCTATCGAATGCGCTTTTCCGCAGCGCGGTAGCTCTACTCGAATTGGTATAAACGATCCTTTGATTTAAACGATCTTTTGAATGCTTCTTACCGCATGTTGCTACGTGGCCCACGAGCCGAGTCAGAAGGAGAGGGGGGGGGTGTTCAAACATCCCCGGCTATCCGCGGTTGGCGCCGGGCACTGGCGCCGTGCGGGTTAATACTACATATTTTATCCAAAAAATATGTAGAAAACGGGTATACTGAAATAATAATAATAATAATAATAATGATAAAATATTTAAAGGGACACTCCCACGTTAACATTAGTTTTGAGTTGAGATAGCCAAATTGGTGGCCATGGCCTGCAAATACCGGTTTGGGCACTCACAACATCGAAAAATGCTTTAATTCGAAGATATGGAATTTCAAACTTGCAGTTTTCGGATTCTAAGGGGCTAATGCATTGGAATGCCCCCTTAGAATTTGTGACGTCAGCGGAGATCTAACGATTTTTAAATCTTAGACTAAAACCATCGTTAACACATGGTGGTATACGCTGCTTTGCGCGCAACGTCTGCCGCACTTTAAGGCTGCCAAATTATTGCTTCCAAATAAAGTCGCTAGTAACAGGGGAGATCCTAAAAAGTAAACAAAAGTAAAATCCTAATATCTTGAAAACCAGTGAATATTTTTCGGTGAAATTTGGTAGATATTCGTTTTCGCTCTTTCTGAACCAAGGGACATCACTTTCATGCCAATTCATTAACTTTTTTGAAGGTGGGAGGGTCCCTTTAATCGTTCCTTGAGTCATGCCATAATCCAGAATGATTTATCAATGGCGATACTATAGCCGTTTTCACGACGGGCCATCTGGCGAATGCAGGTAAATCAAATCTGCACTAAATCTCTTTTACAATAAAAGACATTCACATCATGAATTTCCTACAGTGTTTTTATCGAAATTGTCTGATAATTTGAACGATCAGGTGTAAAACTGTGCATTCCAAACTGATAACTTCTAAAGAACCTGAAACACGATGAACCTAATTTGACCAAATCTGCACCAAATCTGCACCTGAGGCTCACCAAATGTGTACCAGATTGCCGTCGTGAAAACGGCTAATAACTACCTACTTAACTATTGATTTCAACGTTTCTCAGCTACAGTCTGGAGTCTTTCTGAAAGAAAACAAAAGGCATTTTAGCAGTGACATATATTTGATGACAGGTTTTGGGCCATGAGCATGCAGGGAGAATTTTCTCTCCCGAGACAATCTCCCCGCCACATGGCCGTGTTGTTGCGAGACAAAGCAGCACTGTTCAGCAGCCGTCACTCCGGAGAGCTCCCATTAATGGTGCGGGTAGCGGCTCGGGTGCGGGCCGTACACAGGTCTCCTCACAGCGACGTAGCCGTGGCCGTAGCCGTGGTGGCTCAGTAGCCGTAGGAAGCCGAGCGGGCGTAGGGGTGGTGAAGGTAGCCGTAGCCATGGCTGTAGCCGTAGCCGTAGCCAGGGTGGCTGTAGGGAGCCGAGCGGCCGTAGCGGTGGTGACCGTAGCCGTAGTGGTGACCATGACCGTAGCCGTGGCTGGCGTAGCCGTAGTTCACGGACCGTCCGTGCCGGTGTCCGTAGCGGTAACCGTGCCCCAGAGAACGTCCGTACCGGTGGCCGTAGCCGTGGCCGTAGCCGTGGCCGTGGCCGTGGCCGTGGCCGGAGGCGGAAACTGCGGCCACCAGGGCGCACAGCACGAGCTGAAAAGGATATTTTTTGGGTTCAAACAACCACATTTTATCCTTCATCGGTCTCTCACAACTCACAAGGCCGTACAATTTCGCAGAAATAATTTGTCATCAATAAACATTAAAGTGGCATTTTTCGTTCTGAATATTTTTCTTTTATATACTCAAGGCCACAAGGCAAAATATTTGAAGTTAAAAATCGGCGAGAAGTATTTATAGAATGCTTGACGGAATTAATCCTTATTGATTAAAGGGATGCATTGGATGTTTTGCAAAATGCCTTGATTCAAAGCTATACTGATGTTAAAAAAAAAAACAAGTGACATTATTTGGCCGACCCGAGACAATAGGGGGGGGGGGGGTTCTTCTGGATATCTTACCAGAATTCTGGCGTTCATCTCGACTGAGCCGTGTGGGAGGGAGTCTCCGGCGGTGCTGCCGAACAGTGGTGCCTCCAGACGGCCGACCCCCGCTTATATGGCACTCGGGGTGTCACGGTGGTGGCCGCGCGGAGAGCTGACCTTGCTGCCAATGGCTATAGCACCAGCAATGGTGGCAGTTTGGCCGGCCGGCAGGGTCACGCCCAGAGGAGTCATACTCATGACTCTCCTTTGCTTCGTTAAGTCTGTTCTGAACAGCTGTCTTTCGTAAAGAGTTACTTAAACTTTTATATTTTTTTTTTTTAGCTGGAATTTCAAACAGCATCGGACTCATAGGTATACGCTAATTTGTAGAGCGCATAAAAGCAATACAATATCGTACATGCGAACTGGTGTCCATCTTATCAATGCCGTAAATATGATTTCGTAGCACCATAGCTTTCAGATAGGTACATGAGATTCTTTTTAAATTTCCTATAGTTTTAGCTTTTTGTTCCATAGCATACCGGCATATTGAAGGCATATTTTATTCCATAGCATACCGAGGGGGCGGTCGGACCCCCTTGCCGCTCTGCCCTGATCGAGCTAGAGCTTTGCGGAAAAAATCGAGCGTGCTGCACATGACGAGAAAAGCCGATGATACCCAATTTTAGCCCGCGCCCTGGTGGGGCCTGGTAATAGGTATGTAATACAACCTGGTGGCGGGGGCTATTATTATTATTTTTTTTTTGCATAAAAGCAATGCCGAAGAGGTCAGGCAGCCGATGACACCCAGTTTTAACCCGCACCCTGGTGGGGCCTGAGTATAACACAACCTGGTGGCGGGGGATATTTTTTGCCCCCTCGTATCTCCGGAACTACTGACAGATTTACAGAATTCAAACGCCATTCGATAGCCCTATAACAACTGTCGAGGATAAATTATTTAATTGACCTTAGGGTCTCCCATAACGTCACAGGTCAGGTCAAAGTTCTCATTTTTCACCGTTTACCGCGGGCCTTTTAGGGAATGCGTTATGACATGGAGTAAAAAGTATGTTATTGAAAATCATCGATAGAGTGTCGGTTACCTAATACAATCATATGTTGCTTAAAGAGGTCACTGACACAAGGTCAGGTCACAGAGGTCAGGTCACTAAGGATCAAAATATGAACCCAATTAGGGACGTGCGATACATGTTTAATGGCCAATTTTATATTTCCAGTTCAATGGTGTTGGCTAGACGAACATTGGGGTCCGTTTAGGTCACGTTCTGGTCGAGGTCACAGGTCAAGGTCAGGTAAAAAATGTCAAACTAAAAAGTTAATATTTTTGCATAAAGGGGTATCTATTCGATGTAGCTCATCACGGGGAATCCAATGGCAGCGTTTGTTTTACTCTACGTGGCCTACACGGCTAAAAATTGAGTTTCAAGTCATCAACTTTGAACAGCTTTACGCCATAGCTTGGCCAAAAATGAAGTTATCGAGCTTAAATTTGGCTCTAAAAAAAAACAAAACACTTTTTTTGTTTTGTAAGTCAATTTCAGAAAATTCAAAAAGTGAGGTAGCAGTTTTGTAGTCCTGTTAATTCTACATCTTTTTCACTTTAAAAATTTTTCCTTATCTTAAAGATAAGGAAAAATGTTCAAAGTGAAAAAGGCGTGACAGCCCTTCCCGCAAAACCTTTTCTTAGGTCGAAAATGGCAGGTGGGCGTGAACCTGTAACCTCCAGTATGTTACTGTGACTGCCCATGCGCATCGACTGCTTATATAACTGAAAACACTTCAGTCGTATATTATATGTGTTACCTTCTTGTTAAATGCATTTTAGATCCCACATATGGCTGAGTTGCCCGGATGTGGCGAAGCATTTTTGATATTCTATTCCGGGAGAATAAGCGTTCGGCAGTCTCATTACCAAGAACTATTAAGTGTCTCGTTGTAATAGCTCACCGTATAGCGACAGGTAACGAGTATTCGGCGGTGGAGCTCGGCCGGGTGTCACGGCTGCTGTGGTTAGTAAGCGCCAATAACTCTGTGACCGTGAGACAGCGGAGGTCGCCGTCTATGACTCGGGGCAGGTAGCGGTCAACAGACCACCACTGTATACCACACCCATACCCCAGCCACGGCGCTTTGCCACAAACGGGTACATGGGGTGCCCACTGCCGACCACGCCACGCCCACCTCCCAGCTATCCCGCTCCGCCGGCAAAACGGGCACCACCAGATGAAGGCTGCACCCCGATCGAGGTCACGACAGCTCGGTAGGCAACCGCTCACCTTACTTTACCTATTCTGACCGGAGCAGCGTAGTAAATGTCGTAAAGCCTGCTGCTGAATGAATATCTAAAATAAGTCAGTTGTATCACTTGATGGTATCTTCACCATTGAAAAAACATGAGGGCATGACTGAGTGCATGTTTTTGTGTCCTCTCCGACAAGGGAGTGTAAACAAGAATGCGGGGATCGTTCGTAGGTTCCTCAATGGATGAGGCTCCCTAATGGGATGTAGGATTACCTCTGCTACTGCAGGTGTATTTCTATCGTTCCTCAGTGGGTCGTTAGCCATTATTTAGGTTATTAATTGGTTTTAACGTTTGAGGTTCAAGGGAGAAGTGGCGCTGAAATCCCGATGGTCTGACAGTAAATGATTGCTGACCCGGCTCTCAAAGCTCCGCAATCCTGTCCGGCGCCCCTCCCTCTCCTCCAAATCTATGTTTTAGGCGCCTCACCTCTCCCCCAGTCCTGTGTGCCATCAGCCCCGTGTGTCGGTTGGTGCCCCTGTCCCCTACATTCCCACTATTTCCCAGGCTCCCAGCCCTGTGCCGCCCGGTGCCCCAGTCCTCCAATCCCCGAGTGCCCAGCGCCTCAACCCTTTCAGCCCTGCCGGCGCCCTCCACCCCAGCTCCGAGTGCCCGGTGCCCGGTCCTCGCAGCCCTGTGCGTCCGGCGCCCTGCCCTCGCAGCCCTGTGCGTCCTCTGCGCCCTGCCCTCCGAGCTCTGCCAGCGCCCCCGCCCTCTCGGCTCTCAACCCTGTGCGTCCGGCGCCCCTTTTCAGCCCTGTCAGTGCCCAGCTGCCCCCGCCCAATCGGCTCTTAGTCCTGTGCGCCCTGCCCTCCCAGCCCCTCTCAGCCCTGCCGGCGCCCTTTCCCAGCCCTGTCAGCGCCCGGCTGTCCCTGACCTCTCGGCCCTAAGCCCTGTGCGGCGTACGCCCTGCCCTCCCTGCCCTCCCTGCCCTCCCTGCCCTCCCAGCCCTGCGGCGCCCCTGTCCTCCCTGCCCTCCCAGCCCTGCGGCGCCCCTGTCCTCGCTGCCCTCCCAGCCTTGCGGCGCCCCTGCCCTCCCTGCCCTCCCAGTCCTGCGGCGCCCCTGCCCTCCCTGCCCTCCCAGCCCTGCGGCGCCCCTGTCCTCGCTGCCCTCCCAGCCCTGTGGCGCCCCTGCCCTCCCTGCCCTCCCAGCCCTGCGGCGCCCCTGTCCTCCCTGCCCTCCCAGCCCTGCGGCGCCCCTGCCCTCCCTGCCCTCCCAGCCCTGCGGCGCCCCTGCCCTCGCTGCGCACGCATAGCGGGGGTGGGAGGGGCGGCGGGACCGGGGGTGGGAGGGGCGGCGGGACCGAGGGTGGGATGCGTGCCAGGCCGGCGTGGTCGGCGGCCGAGCAGGGGCGGTCAACGACACTGCAGAAAGGACGGCGCCGGTAACGACACTAACAGTTGACCTTGGAACCGGCCGGCCTGCTGCAGGAATGAGCAGAGACATACCTCCGCTCGATTGCATCGTCCTCCCAGTCCCAGCGGAGCCGTTCTACTGCTCTCGCCACCCGCCAGCCCCCTCTCCCGGCCCGGCGGCCGCCGCCCCTGGCGCTGCGTTGCAGGATTCAACGAACTGGTGGTGTAGGTCAGAGCCTCCAAGGTTATCCGAGCGTGCTGCGCCAATCAATACTGCACGCACTCTGCAAGGGTTGCAGGCTGCAGCGCGCTAAAACGGGTCACTGTGCGTGCGGCGGCGGCGGCGGCGGCGGCGGCGGACGACCCTGCTTGAACCTGCCGAGGTAAGTGACCGCAGGGGTGCGGGTCTTGCACAGCGGACGGAGACGAGACGGGCAGCAGGGTGCTCGCACGCGGCCGCCGCGCCGCAGGTTCTCCAATCGCACGGCGCTGCGCGGCCGTGCTCGCCGCAGCTGCCGCCGGTCCCTCAGCGGCACCGGTCCCTCACCGCCCGCCCTTAGTGCACACCCCGTCCCCACAGCGACTCCCGTCCTTAGTGACCGCAGCGTGCCGTTCCTGGAGCCCGGTAATCACCGGGGTACAGTGTCGGGTGACGTGCTCTCATCTCGTGCTCGGCGGCGCGCGGGGGTGGCGGGTCAGCTGACCGGCGCGACGGCGGCGCCCGTCGGTGCCATGGGTGGCCGTGCACGCTGCCACTGTGGTTGTGGCAGGTCAGTCGGTGCCATGGGCGCCGCCGACTGCCGGGGCTACGGCCGCCGCTACGGCCGCCGCTGCCGCCCGGCACGGCTCATAGCCACACCGATTCAAAAGGCTCGACGGTTGACATACTGCGAGAGGGTGCGCCGCTCTGGCGAAGGCGTATGATCTGTAGTGGTGCAGTGAAGTTTTACCTAATAGGAATATGATCTGTGATCGGAAGTGTCTTGGAAAAGAAAGTTGTTGGCTGTGCGTGTTCCGTGCGTGTTCAGGAACGACTGCGCGTTCCGCGACCCCTGCCGCTCCCCGAAGTATCCCTGGCTGCAGTGTCACGCTGATGCGTCACGATAGGTGACGCACTGCGGAGCTGTCCTTGTGACGGGCACGGTCGACCGTGTGCTATCGCCTGCCGTGCTTCTCTGTCGATCGACGTGAGACTAGCGCCGGGGTACCACGATACTGCGGGCTGCAGCTCGGCACATAAATGGCACTACATCCCAACGGCGTCCCCGAATCTCCCACCAGCACATTACTGATGCGACAGAGGGACACAAAAAGATAACTGCAACGGTGCTCTGTTGGATGTCATTTGCGTTGCATACAAAAATATTGGTATCTTTGAAAGACTTGCCTAAATACTTTTTAACCTTGGCGCTTTAAGTATATTTCATATTACATTTTCTTTGAGGCTATGTCTGATAATGGTTCACATATTATCATAAACTTCTACATTTTTCACAATTGGCGTATGCGATCGCTTTACACGCTCTTGCTTCTCACAAAACATTTTAAATGTTCGGTTCATTTATGGCGCAATGTTACTGTCTCTTCATCATTTCTTTTATTCTCAAAATTTATT